GCCTGAGTCGACCTGTGCCAACAAACAGCGCATGGTAGTCAATGACTACCTCCAGGATGTTGAGTGTTGTTTCCCGTACGCGGGAGGGGAATTGAGACATCACGTCTCGTTCGTAGTGAGCGATGAACTCCCCATGGACATGTTGTTAGGTATGTACTACCTCTCTGTGGCACAGCCCCAGTTTGACTGGGACCGAAAAGTGGTCAAACACACTTTGCCAGGTGGAGGGACCGCTAGATTGCACAAGTTCAAAGCTAGTAGTCTGATCGAGTCTCATGGGTGCATGTGTGCGGCCGCGTTCTACAATTACTATAAGCAAAATCAGGAGGAGGGTATGTATCTAGTTTGTCTCTGCTGCAGGCGAGCCGGTGAAAATGCCGCCGGAGATAGAGGGAGTAGTTGCCAAGTACCCTGATCTATTTGAAGAGCCGACAGGGGTTGTAGAGAGGGAGGTCGTCCACGCGATAGAGATTATCCCAGGGTCTAGCATCCCGAAGGGTAGGATCTATCGGATGTCTCCAGGTGAGCTTGATGAACTTCGCCGACAACTCAAGGAACTCGTAGATAAGGGTTGGATCCGGCCGAGTGTCTCTCCTTATGGATCTCGAGTACTATTCGTACCTAAGAAGAAGGAGGGTACACTTAGGATGTGCATTGGTTATAGGGGCCTCAATGCCATCACTGTGAAGAACATAGAGCCCCTACCGCGCATCGACGATTTGTTAGATAGAGTGCACGGGTGTCGGTACTTCAGTAARATAGATCTGAAGTCCGGGTACCATCAGATTGCAATTCGGCCCGAGGATCAACACAAAACCGCCTTTCAGACCAGGTACGGTCTGTACGAGTCTGTGGTGATGCCTTTCAGCCTTTGCAATGCTCCTGGCACCTTTCAGCACGCTATGAATCGGATTTTCCATGATTACTTGGATAAGTTTGTTATCGTGTACCTCGATGACATACGTATTTTTAGTAAGACTGTCGAGGAGCATGTTGCACACTTGGACAAAGTCCTTAGTCTCCTGCGACAGCACAAGTTCAAGATCAACGGTGAGAAGTGCGAGTTTGGCCGCACCTGTGTCTTGTACTTGGGTCATGAGATTTTCGCGGAAGGGTTGAAGCTCGATGACGCGAAGGTGGCCAGCATTCGTGACTGGCCGCGTCCTCAGTCTGTGACTGAGATGAGATCATTATTAGGGATGACCGGCTACTATCGCAACTTTGTGGAGAACTATAGCATAGTTGCCGCCCCTTTGACTGATCTGACCCGCCTTGACACCCCATGGGAGTGGACTGAGAGATGCGAGGATGCTTTCAGACATCTGAAGCATGCGTTGACGCATTACGAAGTTTTGAAACTTACTGATCCTGACAAGCCATTTATAGTGACTACGGATGCTAGCCAATATGGCATAGGCGCCGTACTTGCACAACAGGAGGGGAAAAAGTTGAGGCCAGTAGAGTACATGTCCAAAAAGATGCCCTCTCAGAAGTTGGCTAAATGCGGTTTACAAGGCTCTGACCCATTGGAGACACTACCTCCTTGGGAGGTTCTTCATCCTCAGGACTGATCATCAAACACTGAGATGGATGAGAACTCAACCGGTGCTCTCCGATGCTTTGAAGCGTTGGATCGAAGTCATAGAGCAGTATGACTTCGAGCCCCAGTACATCAAGTGCAAGTACAACAAGGTTGCTGATGCCTTGTCGCGTAGACCAGATTTCTCTGGTGCGCTGATCACTGGGCTTGCGGACAATGTTACTCAGTCCATGGTGGAAGCCTATCGTGAGGATCCGTTCATGTCCGAGATCATCCGCAGACTCGAAGCGAAGGACAAAGTGACTTCTTCTGAGTTTGAGTTGGTCAACGGCTTGCTGTTCCTCGAGAAGGCTAGTGTAACGGGCGTGAGGCTGAGGGTGAGCCGAGCGAGATGAGAGAGAGGGAGAGAGAGGGAGAGAGTGAGAGCACACACACACACTCACTCACTCGACACGACGGACTCGGACTGAGGGTCGGACGCAGACACAGTGGCAAGGCACAAAGTCGAAGTCTTGGATTCCGAATGCCGAAACGGCAAGTCACACTGAGTACGAGTACAGCAGCAGAGAACTGGTACGAGACTCGTCCCCGTACCGTACGGGGAGCCGGCATAAGTACCGGTGACACGTA